TCCCAGGCTGCTCCTCCTGCCCCTGGGCAGGTGACTGTGTCTTTGTCCCCGTGGCTGGAGGGGGCCCGCAAGGACAGCAGCTGGGAGTGGATGTTGGGAGAAGTGGAAACAGCACCTTTCCCCGCACTTGGCGCGTACAGACTGTTAATGAACTGTTAATCACCAGGTGTACCAAGGAAGGGCTACTGAATAACCCAGTGGTTTTTAGCAGCTACATTGCTATCTCTCTAGATAATATTTTACTTCTAGTTTTCAGTTTTTGCTGTCCTTGCATGATGTTGCGCTGAAATAAACTGTTCTCTCCAGCAGAGAAAGTTTTCAGGGAAGGACACGTAAGAAATTATAGGAAGCAGGTTGCTAAAAATCCTTTAATTTCCGGTTTCCAGAAACTCTGAGCTCTCACATTGAGCTGTGATATACGTCACCGACACATCAGCCCATCAAAACATGCACTTCAGCGAGAAATAGGTTCTTGTGAAATGTGCAGGAGACTTAGTACTGGGGACTAAAGTCTTCAGCTGCTCTGTGAAGCTGACCCAGGGGGGCAGCAGCCGTGAAATTTTCTTTTCACTTTGCTGCCAATGTGCCTTGCCTCTGACCCGGGGAAACCTCTTCGAGAGGAGTACAGTTCAGGTCACGACTTGGCAAGCGCTTCATTGCATCAGGACTTTGTTTGCCACGTTCACTCTGGGCAAAACCTAACCTCTCCTACATAAATGTGGCAGCCCTCTGGCACGAGGCTGTTGTGCAAAAATAGGCAATATGGCATTTTCTAGTGTTTTTGGTTCTCCTTGACCAGCAGGTCTCTCTCTGTGCTTTTCTCTTTCCCCTGCTGAGATCACCACCCTGTGCTGGGTGTAAATTAGGAAGAAAAAATCAGGTGCTGGACCAGTCTCCTGGCAAAACCCATCCCCCGTTTCCTCTGTGAGGCAAAACACTGGAGTATGGGCAGCAGCAATAATGATTCCTGCCCTGCCGCTGAACTCAGCAAGGAGCTGACATTGGAAAGGGGGTTGGGAGGCTGAGCAAGAAGTGAAGGAGCAGAGTTCCTCCAGGGGCTGGGAAAACTACCCTGGGGTCTGAAAGGGAAGCAAACGCTTTGTACGTGGTTGGATTTATTTCGGGCCTTCACCATGCGTACACACAATAGCGTACGTAATAACTCATGGGGATCTGGGTAGAGGTTTAGGGTCAACTGTGTGGGTCAGGAAAACCAAGGAAAATTCCTTGGTAAGGGCACAAGAAATTTTCCTTGATGGAATGGGGGTCTGCTCCATTGGAAGGGGGAAGGGTGGGCTGGGATGGGGGGAGGAGGCATCTCGTACCCGGCCACCTGTGCCTCTTCTCCATGCCGCACGGCGAGAGTGTCGCCTGGCAAACAAGTGTGCAAGGCTGTCGTCTGGGGTTAACAAGTACAACGGGGAATGGCCCCTTCATAGCCAGCGTTACCCTGCAAGGCACCACCCCCTGTGATTTTCCAAGCAGAAAGGCACTGGGAACAGCAGCTCTGGCGCAGCGTTGCAGGGCTTCACGGGATTACTTATTCACTGTGTTCCTGGAACAGCTCCAGGCTTCCCGTCTCTGTCTCCAGTGTACAAATTCATCAAGTGTCCACAAGGCTCACAATCCCCAGAGGCAAGAGAAGGCAGCAGGAAGGCGATTCATACTGCAAATCACACTGTCTTGGAAGGACCTGCGGGGCTCTGGAAAGACCAAACTGGTATTCTCCCTTCTTCTACTTCCCTAACGCTTTATCAGGGTGATTAAGGCAGCAGACTCAGTCTGGATGGATTTCATTGCCGGGGCCATTGGAGGTAAATACATAAAGTGGTGCTTGTTGATGAAAGCAGATCGCTGTGTTTCCTTCTCGTTCAGCTAACGGGCAAGTCTCAATGGTGGAGCTGAGAGTCTTTTGATGGGGGCTGCTTGTTAAAAGGGCATTCTTCTCTATTAAGTGGAAAATGTAGTCAGAGCAGGTTCACAGAGCTACTGGGGAGCTACTGGGGAGGCAGGGCTGGAATTTGGTCAGCTGAGGTCATTGCCCTGCAATCTCCTCCAGTCGAATCGCAGCAGGACAGGGTGAAACTCTGATTGGGAGCGATAAAGTGGAATATGTTGCATGCAGATACAAACTGGCGGGTGCCCAGACAACAAAACCTCACGTGTCTGGTGCCTGGGGGGCCTGGCAGGCTGTCGGGGTGGTGGCTCTGGGGGGCTGAGGATGTGATTTGTGAGACGGGAGGTGTGGAGACACGGCTTTTCACAGTGAAGAAGGTTTATCTTAGGTTAAGATCTATTTGCAGCTGTGATAGTAATTTCAGTGCAGGCATGCTACATAGCAGGCTTTCATTTGGGAGAAAGTAGGTTAGTTATAGATAAAAAAAGTAAAAGGAGACAAGTGTGATTTAATTCTAGACATTTTTAGAGCATGAACTGCTCAAACCCGTGTTTGTTTTAAACAACAGAATGTAGCCACTGGTTTCATTTCTGTTCTGAAATCTTGTCAGATTTAGTGGAGTATCAAATACCAAGACAAGAGCCTTGGGGTCACCACTGCCAGAAAGGCCAGGTAAACCTGCCAGATGGCTGAGATGCCCAGCCCAAGCCTGCACGTCAGATCTCACTTTGAGATCTGCTGAAATTTGGCAGTTTCCCTCTGTCGTCCTGGTGCAGATGTGCATTTCCTGGGAAGGACCATGATGAGTTTTACATTGTAGCCCCTTACTGCTCATCACCCAAAATGTGCAAGTGAGGTGAGGTGTGGTGTCTCAGCAGCATCCAGCCCCAGAGGTGCCTGTTGCTCGGGGTGTTGTCCTTCCCGGGGTTCTGGGGGATCCTGCTCAGGAAGGACTGTTCATGGGAGAGGGGAATATAACCAACCCCTCCACAGCAGCTTGCCTTTATCCACCTCTTTCCTTGCTGACTTTAAAGTACCCATTGGAGACTGTAGCCCTGGCAATGGGACATCCATCCTGGAAGGATTCACCAAACCTTCTCTGAGCTGTCCCGTTAACGACCAGGCTCAGCTCAGCAGGGCAGCAACGGTTGCATTCACTGGTTGGACTTCTTTGCTTTTGTTGGCACAGTTGTAGTTGAGCCAGTTAGGGATAAACTTCTTTTACAAGGGAATGTGGAGAGCTGAAAACACAGTTTCAAAGTGGCCGTTCACCTTGGCATTGCGCCCCTGCTCCTGCGTGAGGCCATCATCTGTGTGGTGCTCTCCTCTCTGGGCACCAGCATCGTGTGCCACCTGGCCATGCAGCAAACATCTCCCATGGGTGCCCTGGAAACAGGCTCAGCCTGGGAGGATGCAGCTGCGACCAGAAAAGATTTTGCTTGTTTTAATGCACTTCACTGACCCCAGGGTGTCAGAGAGCAAGATTTTCCATCCTGTCATCTGTGTCCAGCTCAGGGCTTTCCTTAGAGGGAAAAGGCAACTTTTCACTGGCAGACAGGAGTGTTTTCTGGCATGCTGTTCCCTGCTGGGAGCTTGCACATAGACATGTGCAAGGTACCTGGGCAGGGCTTCAGGGCCATGCTTCCTACCCCGACATGGGACAGCTTCCAGGGGTGGGACAGCTTTCCTGCGAGAACTGGGATGTTTTTGGTGTTGAGCTTATTTCATGGCTTGTGTTTGTTAGAGTTGAAGCAGTTTCTGTGTTCCTGAGGAGGCTTCAAACCCAGCTGAAATGCATCAAACAACTCAAGAGGCAACACAGATAACAACAGAGTTTCTGTTTAGAAAACTACGTTCTTGTGACCTTGATCTGTTTTCAGAGTGTTTTGGGCAAAGCGTGGCTTAAGCACTTCTGAAAACCAGCAGAGATGCTGTCCTTTTGAATCACATGGAATGATCCAGCCTGACTCAGGTACCTGCACAAATACTGTGCGTCTCCCCTGAGATACTGCTTCTGTGGCCATGGGACAAGCTCAGCATCTTCAGCCCAGGGAATAGTGACCTGCTGTGACTCCAGATGGAACCAATGTGAGAGAAATACTTTTAATTACTGGGGAGACTTTCAATAACCTCTAAATGGGGCTGGATGTTGTGGAAAGCAGCTCATCTATAAGGATGTCCTTCCTGGCCAATAAAGCTGAGCAGGAGATTGGACTGGAGACCTCCCGAGGTCCCTTCCAACTTGAATTTTCCTATGATCCCATATGCATCTTCTAGCCCTGCTACTGTGGCAGCCCAGGCCATGGCAGGGGATGAGTATTGATGATCAGGGCTACTGATGGCTAGAGGATGACTTGACCCTTGTGCCAGGCATAAAGGTTTGGGAAGGGGAAGCTGAGGTTCACCCAGCACTGACCTGCAGCAGCAGTAGAGCAGCAGGGTCTGCAGCACGGCCGGGCTTCTCCACATCTTACTGCAAGGTTACACACCAGTCACATGCAGTCCAAGGGTAGATAAAATAGTCCACCTATGGAGGGAACATGCTGTGTCCTTGTCCTTACGGCTAAAGCAGCTCCTGCTGGCCACTGCCAGGGTCACATTACTGGATGGAGTTCAGCTTGTTTAGGATATGGGGCACTTCTTATGTTCCCAACTCGTCACAAAACAAAGGTCTTTGGAGGTTGCTGTCTACCCATCCAGCGTTTGGACCACGATCCCCGCTTTCCCCTGGGTCTCTCAGCAAGGTGTTTGCCAACAGCTTGGAGCAGTTGCAGCCCAGTGGGCTCCATATGGCTGCAGCTTGCACTCTGCTGATTGCCATTGTGGTGGCCACCCTGACAAGATGCCTCCATATTTGAATTGCCTGGTTGAAGTGGCCTGACTCGTGAAGAGACTGTGAGGATTCCAGTTTGGTCCCTGCCGTGTGTGTGTAGGGGATGCCACAACCTCTGCTCAATACCTGAGAACATTTTACATAAAGTAGGCATAAAAAATGGCTCACTACAACCCAGTGAAGATCATTCACCTGATTTTGCCATTTATTTTCGTCACAGCCAGTGCAGTGTTACTGAGCAAGAGTCCCACAGGATCCCTCCCCAGTATGCATGCTATGTATTTCTGGCCTTGTTCGATTCTATTGTGCGAACAGGGCATGTGTGAGTCATGCTGTCTTTGTCCCAGGCTATTTATATTGCATGACATCGTGCAGAGCCCTTCTTTCTCAACCTTTGATTGACTTGGCTGAGCTCCTCAGCTCTGACAACTGCTCCGAGTGCTTTGACTCTTAAGGAGCCCCGTGCATAGCAGGCTGTGGTTGTTCAGAGGTTTGGGGGATCACGTCTCCATCTTGGTGGGAGCAGTGAGAAATTTACTCCTATGGTCTCCTCCCAAGTGGAGATGTTTGGTCCTTGCTGGCACCTAGGACTGAGAAGCAATGGGAAACAGGCTGGTTTGGGGAAAACCTGCATTATTTTGTCTCTGTTTCCACTGTCTTTGCATCTTAATGTGTGAACAGGACAATTTCTCTGGAAGACACTTATTGTTGAACACTGACCCAAATTAGCCTTGGTACCTGATGTGCGTGAGCTCCTACCTTCCTGAGCTGGTGGAGCAAGCCAGGGCTTAGACATGCAAGGCACATGGTGCCCCCACATCGCCAGCATCTGGTCAGCCACATGTGCTGCCTCTGAGGTTCAGGAAGTCTGAAACCGATGTGATGCCAAATCCTCCTGGCTGGGACGGGGCTCTTGGGCCAGGGGACCGCACCTCTGAGATCAGCACTGTCATGCTGACATACGTGCTTTCCTTTCCTGGCTGGCGGGGCCCGTGTTTGCAGTCTGCCTCTGGCCGATGGCCGGGAATCTGGGACAGTGCGGATGGCCCCGGGTGACTTTGTGCGTTGTCACTCCACTCAGACCAGAGGCATTGCCCCTTCAAGCTGTATTACTCTGCCTGTGTATTCCCCCATTGCCGCTTCTCTTCCAGCCTGATCTCATTTTGGTTTTGAAATACAGAAGGTGGCTTCTTGGCCCATTTTTCTTCTTCATTGCTATTTATCTGGTGGCAGATTAGACAGAGATTCTTGCAGAACAAACCTCATTTTTTCTGCAAGCAAGATGATGTTAGCTGTTTTCTTCTGAGTAATGCACCTTGGGATTTTCTCCTGGTGACTCACACCAGCAGCTATTGCTTTTTTCCAAAATGTAGTAGAGCTTTCCAGAGCTCCCAAGCACCCATGTAACCACAGGTGAATATGCCTAGTGAAATAACCCACACAGTGACTACATTTTTTAAGTAACTTTTTGTATCTTTTTTCTTTTTTTTTTTAAAGAAGGACTCAATGAAAGGTAGTTTCCAACTTGTGAGCCACCAGGCATACACTGTTGCTATCTATGACCACCTGGCTCCTGAAGGGCTCATCCAGCACTTCTATGAACTTGATCTCTGTCTAAATAACTCACATGGACACAGCTTCATTGTCCCCCAGCCTGATTTCCTCTCCGGTGACTTGGCAGTTGATGCCCTGGGAGGAAGTTAGTTGGTCAGCCCCTTTATCATCTGTTGTATCTGCCGACAGACGCTTTTAGATCGGAGCAGGGAAATGCAGTGAGGTAAGGGCAGGGATGGTGGGTGATTGATTTGTTGCCGCAAGCAAGAGAAGTCTGTGTTGGAGCTCTTTCGCTCTCCTCATCTGCCATTAAGGCAGTAACTTTGTCTCGTAGGATTGATGTGTTTCCAACTCCTGTGGCTATTTTAAGGTCTTGAAATGACCCCGGGTGTTGATAGAGGATTGACAAATCCCCCCTCAGCACGCTGGACATGCCGTCATCGCTGCAGGCGGGGAGTCGCGGTCAGCTGGCGTGCGGGGCATGCTGGTGAGCAATGCTGGTTTTGCGCACGCCCGGCACTAATCCCTCGCTGCCCCTTAATCCTGCTGTGCCCCGAGGGCGGGTGGCCTCACCGCAGAGCAGCACTGCCGGTTGTGCTGCGTCCCGGCATCACACCAGCCTGACAGGGCTCCAAGCAACCTTTGCTTTTGCTCCTTGCTCTGCTTTTGCAGCAGTCTTCGGTGCACGTAGGGGATGTGCTTCAGAGGCTTAGTCCGGCATGGTGCTGTGGACCCTAATGTCCAATGAAGTTCTCACCCAGGGCTCTAGATGTGCTTTGTAAGCTTCAGCCAGGACATGTCCTGTCCCTGGCATGCAGGAGGCAGCAGGAGTACCTCTCCTCTCTTCAGGACAGATTGCTGAGAACCTGTAACACGTGAGGACCACCCGTCTTTTATAGATGTCCTTGTGATCGCTGCTTTTATTCCTTAATATTTCCAAGCCAAGCATGGAGAATGCAAATTGCTCCAGAGACCCTTTTGTGTGATTGGGGATGCTCTGCACCTCACATGAGGGTGCTTGGCCGTAGTCTAAAGACGCTTTACTGCCTAAGCTGGGAGGGGAAACAAAACCAGTCTGATACCACATAAACTATCCCTTCAACCTTCCTGCAGCAGTGCTCTCAGCGTTTCCCCCAGTCCCAGCTTGTACCACGGTGTAATATAATTTCTCATTTCTCATGATGCTCAGATTCCTCCTCTGAGGATGCCTTGGTCATGTGGAGAAATCTGCACATTTTGCTCTGTCATTCTTGGCTGAAACATTGTCACTGTACATCGAGAGAGGTCTGGTGCCAAGCACAGCAGGGCTCTGAAGCTGCATTTTTCTGCCGTTCCTCTGGTGACTTGCCACGATGGGGAAAAATGGTCTGTTGTGACGTCTGCTGTTAACCATCTCCAATACACTCTCTGTTTCAGGTGGTCTGAGCACAGCAGTGGGTTATCCGCTGGACACAGTGAAGGTACAGGTTGGAGCTTTATTTCTTGACTACACACTGAAAACAAACAGGCTCTTCTTTTGCTTTTTTCCTCCCCTTTTTAGAAAACTAGTCCCATGACAGTGTTTTTAATCTTTGTTAAAATCAACATATTTCACTTTATTTGGTTGTGGTTTTTTCCTCTTAAAAAAAAAAAAAAAGTAAATTGTTTCGTGATGCTACTTTATGGCTAATTAACTGGTTTGCTGCTATGGCATTTGTTGATTTTTTTTTTTTTTTAATATCTGATGCCTACATTTCAACGTTGACCCTATGCTCCTAGGTGAGAATTCAGACTGAGAGGCATTACAATGGGATTTGGCACTGCATTAAGGAGACATACAGGACAGAAAAGGTAGGTACCTCTCATCGGAATTGCTGATACCAGTATGGATGCCTTGTTTCAGAGAAGCAGAGCTGCCTCTGTCAGTCTGGGGAGGACAGGCAGCAGTTGCATACAACCGTTTGTTGGGAGAACGGTCTGGATGCAATTCAGCTTTGCCGAGCTGTAAGATGGAAATAAGCTTTGGCTTAGCAATGTACGACTGGTGTATTTGGGCTTCTCCATGCCATTCCCTCTTTTCTCTCTGTTTCCCACTAGATTCAGGGATTTTACAAAGGTATGTCTGCATCAGTTCTCACAGTATCAGTGATTTCTTCTGTTTCATTTGGCACGTACAAAAACTTCCTTTGTACAATCTGCAAGCTGCGATACGGGGCTGCAGACATGAAACCGTCTAAGCTGGATGTTTCTCTTGCCGGAGGAGCTGCCGGTGCTGTCCGGGTAGGTACACAGCCCAAAGGGAAAGCACAACAAGAGATCTTGTTCACAAACACAGGAAGCTAGAAAAGCAGTGAATGTTTTCTGCTCTGCCCACACCGCCCCCTCGCTGGTCCGGTCCTTGGAGTGGCCAAGTCCTGCCGGGCAGCTCGTGCCAGATTTGGTTCAGAGCGACGAAACACTTAAGAACACTCTATTAAGAATGACATCAATCTTGGCAGCAAACACAGAAAAAGGAAGAAAAACAACCTGAGCAGCAAACTTTCCAAGCGGCTCTGACAGTATGTTTATGTAAGAAAGACATAACTCATTGTTTTAAAGCACAGGCCAGTGTTTTGACGGTGGCTGCACAAGCCTGGTATGATATCGCTGTAGGAACGGGCAGTACGCAGCGTTGCCTTGTCAGGACTCACAACTCCATGTGTCATCACTGACAAGTGATTCTGCCTGGCAAACGTGCATGATCCCAGGACAGAGAGGTGATGCTGAATCCAGGAGCAGTTTCCCATAAGGAGATGGATTTCTGTGAGCGTCTGCAGGTCCTGCGAACGTGGCAGAGCTCACCCTGGCTCCCTGATGCCGTGCTGGGCAGAAACATGTGCCCGGTCACAGGCAATCCTCTTACAGATCGGTCCAGATGGTCGGGTTTCTAGGTGTTTCCTAGCAGGCAATGACTACTTAACACAGGTTAATTTTTTAAAGTCTGTATGGCCTTGGTTCCAAATACAGATACATACAAGATACTTGATGTATGCTACCCTATAGCTGAGGACATCCCCTTTCCATGCCTAAGTTGTTACAGGTATTTCATATCCCCTGTTGATTTCTGCCTCATCTTCCGCTCTGCACAGTGCAGCTCACACGTGTGTCCTGCTCCTGCTGCGAGGGATTTACCGCAGACAGAGGAGGCTGGAACTTGCTGGCAATATTATTGCCTGAAAAGGTGGGAGACAAGGAATTTGCAGGAGGCGGATCAAAACACTGCTTAAATGTGAAGGGTTAAAGTACCATCCTCTGATGTTACAGGTTGTGTTGATGACCCCTAGTGAAGTGGCCAAAGTTCGCATGCAGACCCAGAGGAACCCACATCCTTCCGTCGCATCTCCCCAGCCTGTTTCCAAGCCAAAGTATCGAGGATCTCTGCACTGTCTGAAGGTGATCGCCAAGGAGGAAGGTTTTGGGGCTCTCTACAAGGGCTGCTCTGCATTACTCTGCAGGGACTGCTCCTCTTCTGCAATATATTTCCTTACCTATTCTGCTCTGTGCGACTGGCTCACACCAGCCGGGACAAATAAACCAGGTGGGTATCGGACAGCATCTGGCCTTACCTGCAAAGACGGCTTATTTAGTACCACGCTAAGAGGGAAATCAGGCTCTCGGCAAACATCACCTAGTAGCTATAAAACCTCACCCGGATCCGGTCCTCGCGCAGGGTTGCTGTGTGCTTGCTTCCTGGCGTCACGGGGCCGTTTGTGCCCACCCGGCACAAATGCCAGCAGCCTGCATGTGAGGGCTTCGCCAGCACGACCTTGTCCCTCAGCAGCTACTCCTCTCCCTGCGGGAGGGGTGTTTATGGCACACTCTGGTGCCTAGTATGCGGGTATGAAATCCTCTTAATGCAGAAATAGGATATGTAACTACAAATGAAACAGGGACAAACCTCCCAGGAGCCACCATGGAGGATGGATCAGGGTCAGCCCAGAGCTTGAAAGTAAAGTCCAGGTGCAGAATGTAAACATGCTTAAGTTTCCTGGTTGTGATTTGGCTCCAAAAAACAGCTATCCACTTTGAGAAAAGATCAAATAGGTGACATTCATCAAAAAAACCACGTTCCTGAGAATTACTAAATAAGTAGATCCAGCTGAAGAAGGTGTGAGTGCTCTCAGGTTGCACATCTAGTTTTGTGGTGTTAACACAGATGCTGCCTCTGCACGAGCCAGTACAATGTACGCAAAAACGAATATGGCCTGAAATTGAGAGGCCATACAATTTGTGTGAGGTCACTGAAAACTCACAACTGCAAGAGCTTGACAAAACAACTGCTGAAAAACATGAAAGTTAACCTAGTTAGTTAACAAATCTGAGATGCTTGCAGCCGTTATCAGTGCAAGGCTTGAGTTAACGGCTTCGCTCCTGCAGGTTTCCTCGTTGTGCTGCTTTCTGGTGGTTTTGCTGGAGTCCTGGCCTGGGGATTAGCTACTCCCATGGATGTCCTCAAATCACGGATGCAAACAGAGGAATCGGACCAGCACAAGTACAAAGGCCTCATCCACTGTGCTAGAGAAAGCGTGAGAAAGGAGGGTGCAAAAGTGCTTTTCAAAGGACTGGGTTTGAACTGCATTCGTGCCTTTCCTGTGAACATGGTGGTGTTTGTAGCGTATGAAGCTGTACTGAGATTTACAGATCACTATTCTATAACAGATCACTGTAACAAAAAATAACTTGTGCCACTCTGTTCAGAGGTATACTTTGATTAGTTTGGTTTTTTTGTAACACAACATCCACAAACAACTGCTGAACGCCTTCTCCTTTGACGGACACGGTAAGAAGCATGGACATTTCAGCACAAAGCTGGATGATTGAAGGCTTTGTTTTATTCTTATAGGATTACAAACTCATCATGGAGTCTTGGACTTGCATACAATCTCCAGTTTATCTCATTAATGTAATTAGACTGTAGCTGCTGCTTGGGCTCTTGAAACATTTGCAAATATTCGTGTTCTAAAAAGCTGCTTGTCTGATCAGAGATTTTAGTAAAGGATTCATTTTGTTTTTTACTGGCACAGAAAACGATCTTCACAACCAAGGCAAGAGCTAGGGGGAGTTTGTGTAAGATTTAACACTACCCAGTGTGTGCTCTTTACATGCAATGCCTGCATTGCATTCACCGAGTTAGTTACTTACATTATTTGTGTTTCAGGATGCAACTTTTCCTTCCCAGCTATGATTTTCTTAAAGAACTCTACAATTATATCAGTTTGGTAGCAGCTGTAGTAAGAATCTGCTTGTGGTTTCCTGTCATTATTTAATGAATGGCAGAAATAGTCTTAGTAAACTCTAAAAATAGAGTTTACATAATCGCTATAATGACCTCACTGAAAATGAAATGAAATGAGATTCCCATAAACTATCTGATTTTTTCTCCCTGTGCAAGCCTGAGCCCTACAGCACCGGTCCCCTCCTGAAGGCTGACAGCACCGCAGCTCTCTGGAGCTTGGCACAGCTTTGGAGGCAATCTGTTCTGCTCCCAGAAGGAGGGTAGGAATAGATGCAAAACCTCTTTGCTTCTCAGAGGAAAGGCTGACGTAAAATCTGTATGCTGGAGGGTTAGGCAACTTAAGGGAGAATTGCAAAGTTGTAGGGTATAATTAAGATTTACTGCTTTTAAAATGTGTGTACTCTTCTCGCTTTACGGTGTTCAGAGCAGCCAAATGGTGGTTTTTTGTCGAAGGTACATTTTGATAGAATTTCTGACTTTCCTAACAAGTATTTATTTCTCACAAAGCTATAAAGTTTCATCAGTGTGTCAGGTTAAAAAAAAAAAACAATCCACACTGTTGCTTCAGAAGGAAAGTTCCTAAAAACAGAAATCCTTTAATTTGCTCATTATCCCTCAAGAGCAGCATAAATGTTTTGTATCTCCATTTTAACCTCTGGATGAAGACATCTGTAGCAGACTGGATCCTGCCCCTGTCAGATTCTGTTGTAAGTGAGGTTTTTGGAGGGACAGAGGAAGAATATATTTTTAAAGGTGTTCTCATATTCAGGGTTGATGCCCTTCTTGTCCACAGCCACTTTGACCAGTTGATACCGTGGCATTGACTACACTGACAGTAATTTTGCAGCAGACAGAACTTGTCAGCTACTCTGGACATAGAAAAAAGGATCTTGCACTAAAAGGACAAGTTTAGAAATTTCACGTGCTACTAGAAAAGAATAAAGGTGACCTCTTCCACTCCAGAGAGCAAGCAGTAAAAAGCTCCGGAACTGTCCTCCTGAAATCTAAGCCTTCAACTGACTTTTCAACATGTTCGCAGCCATGCTAGCAAATCACCATTATAATAATTCTCTCAAGAATCTATCCAGCTTTTGCAGTTGATCCAAGAGCAGGGTTAAAAAACCAGGCAGGTGCAGAGTATGTCACCTTAAAGGGGAGTGAAATGAAAGACCCAGATTCACTCCCAAAGTGCTTACGGCCTCAGCAACCTACCACCCCCCCGTTACATCTTGGGGCACCAGCACCAAACTTCCTTTGCTCAGAAAGTCCTTAGAACAGAGGATTTAAGTAAGTCCTCAAGATTTGGAATTCCTCTTAACGTGGTTCTCAATAGTCTGCTACTCTCACCTCTTTCTACAAGGGACGCATTTGATCAAGTGCTGTCCCAGCTGGGTAGTCCCAGCTCTGCCTGGATGTTTTCTGGAATCAAACTCCTTTATGCTGTATTATTCTCAGCCGACCTTGTTCTCAGGCATTACATCCTCTGAACAGAGACAGTAAAAAAAAAAAAAAAAAGCCTGCAAATCAGCCTAAACAACCATTTCTTGTGTTGATACCATCCATGGTCAGCCCAAGGTTTGAAAATAAAGTAACTAACTCAGCTTTCCTAATAGGCTTACACATTCAGATAGCTAAAAGTCTCCTCCTGTGGGTGTAACTGAAATACAGCTGGTTTCAAAAACAGGAATTACAGATGAATTGTAAAAATGCGTGGCAACAACAGCGGAAGCCAATGCAAGGGGCTGAGAACTGTAAGCCTCAGGGTATTCAGCACCATGTGAAACCAAGTTCTCATGTGGCCTGAACAAATGCCACCCGAGAGGTAAGTTCTATCTTCAGAGAGGTAAGTTATTTCAGGGAGGTAACTGCTTTGCAATCCACCCTGTTCACAAGCCTTTACTGGATACAAAATATAGAGAGTGTATGGGTGACAACCTGCCTTAGAGTAAGAACTCACAGCTAATTCACACTGATAGAAACTACCAACAGGTACAGGAATTGGCTGAGTACTGTAAACACAGGCACAGAAATATGAACCACTATTTGTTTACTGACATGACACATTGTACATATTATGTACTTCACTGTATACACACCAAGCTGGGTGTTTTGGCTTCTGGATTTCAGGACTTGACTGCTTTATTTTCTTATTTGTTTGTATTATCCTGACCTTCAGCTACTCTGATAATCACAGAACTATTTATTCTGATAAATTAGCTAGCTGAAGGCCAGCTAACAGAATAAAGACTTCACAATTGCTGTGCTGATACTGGGTTTACGTTGCTGTAGGGTCTGCAGCTTGTGATATAGATGATTTCTTTCAGTAACAAAGTTGATGGCTTTGAAAAAAAGAAAATTTTCTTTAGAAGGCAGATTCTGCTTTATGTTTTCATGTTGCTGAGAATTCCTGTTTTCTCTGACAATGTTTATGAATATCCAAGTAGGTTTCAGCACACTGTCTTGGCTTGCCTCAGTGGCTGTGGAAGAGTCATGTGAAGCTATTCACAATCATCTGCTCTGCAGACAATGGCAACTGCGGAGTACCGCATTTCCACCAAGTCTTTATGCCAAACCTACTGAAGCATCATTGTAAACGGGTCACAACGTAAACGGGTCACAATGACCTCCCCCTATTTCTGAGCTGGCTGCTGTCCACTGGCAAATTCAACATCCAGTCTTCCTTGCAGCCAGTCACTCTTTGGAAAACTGACCCTTATTAGCGTGCTCTGGGAGCAATTCAAAGTCTACCTGGTAGGACTGGTAGGTGCCCTCCTTCACTAGAAAGGCACTGGACATCAGAACAAGCACCAGCTCCAATAGATGACTAAATCAACACCTAAAAGGGTAGGAAGAGAGGTTGAAAATAGAGTGAGTGTAAATTAAGCCTTTTTTTTTTAAAAAAAAAGGGGTAACATCACAGAAGTTTCACACAGACTTTTATCTACATTTTTATTGCAGTGAGATGAACAAAATATGAACAAAATAAAGACAAAGTAATGAACATTGCCTGATAACCTTCTTGGACATTTCACGCATGCTTTTGAGGACTGCCTTGGCTTGGCTTTTAAATACCTCTGGGCCTTGAATTGCAACAGATTTAGGAATTTGCCAAGACTCTCCTGGGAAACCGTATCATTTCAGAAACATGTTTGTAAGAATCTGACAGAGTACTTGAGTAAGGTGCTTGCTCGGTAAACAAATACTAAGTAATTTTGCTATCACTTTCCTTTCTAGAACTTTCAAAATAGATTTTAATTGCTGTGTTATAAAATTAATCCATATGCTTAGTTAGAACACACTACTGTTTCTCCCACAGCATATTGCCCTTTCCTGAATAAATGAAATAAATTGACTTTTAAAGGGCTCTTACAAACTCATAATGCAAATTTCTTCTTTAAAATATTATATGTAGATCTGTCCTGCAAGATTTAAGTCTTGTGTTTTATGTATAGCTTAAAGATGACAAAAAGTCGACTGTAAGAACAGGAAGGTCATCATTAAAGTCTACAATATCCAAGAATTAGTTTACTACTGGATTTAAGAAGCTATTTTTCTTTTCTAAGAATTGCTCCACCACTTTAGAAGGAAAAAAAAAAAGGCTTTTCTGCTGATTGTTAAACACTTGTTAGCACTGAGATACTACGTCTGTGGGATATAGAGAGACAGTTGCTGGTAAACATTTACTTTAACACGTTAAAGTCAAAGGCACTAAATTAGCAATGTCAGCTCACATAAACTGTAACGACAAAAGCTAAGTACTGCTATTTTCAGCACAAGTTTGAGACACGTGCAATAGGACTAAACTTGCCTTGCATTTCAGTCTTGCACAAATGTAAACTAATGGGGGCACTTCACATACAACTTGGCACCCAGGCACTTCCATCCCAGAAGTGCAAGGTCATTCCTGGCAAGCACGTGTACGCTGCGTTACAGACCACGGGAAGGGTGGGAAGGCAGCGGCACCTGCTTCAGGCAGCACAAACTGCCCAGCACGCTCTCACGCACTAACAGGCTGATCCAAGGTCTGCTGATGTCAATGAGAAGTCTCACCCTTGAAACTTCTCCCTGAACCCAAGTGTCATCAGCTGACTTCAAAGGTTTCCAGCCAAATTAAAAGTGTGCTTTTTTGGATTTTAATTTTCTACATGCAACAGTCAATCTATGTCCGCTAGGCCTCACAGTACAGAACCTGTTAAAAGTTTAAAATCTTTCACACCTCGTTCAAGTGCCTTCCTTATATTTTTTAATGATTTACAAATACCACACATCAATAGCCACCTGTGTTATCACAGGTATTTTTTTTTTGATGTAGATAAGACTATGTTTGGGCTAGCAACTTTCTGTTCTATATAAATACAAGACAAATCTAACAATTTGCATTCAGCCCTGTACATGTTAAAACAAATTAGCTAATAATTTGATTTTTCTTCCGTACATCATAGC